GAAAAATCGGCAGTGCATCTGTAAATGTATGGGGGGCTTTAGGCTAGGTTCACAGTTCCCTGTAACAGTGGAACACGACACAATGGAAAGCGGTGCCGCACCTTACCTGTGCATTACATCCCATATAGTGACGCATACAGTCAATGAAAAGCATGCTTCATGGTTACTTGACATGTTTGTTTTGTGGTAACATTATGCACTGCATGCACTGGACTTTATTCTTACAGCAGAGAAGTAGTTCATTATGACTGTTTGTGAATTGGGACATTTCAACTTACTTTTTTAATTCCCATTTAAATTTAGTAGGAGTCGGAGTCGGAGTCGGAGTCGGTTAACTTTTTTCCGACTCCGACTCCAGGTACCCAAAATTGTCTCTGACTCCGACTCCTCGACTCCGACTCCGACTCCACAGCCCTGACTAAAAGACATCTGACTTTCTCTGTATGCAAATGTGTTGAATTCCATGATATTTGGCAGGCAATACCAACTTATTTGTGGGTAGATAAGTTCTATTTGGCTACAGTTTCAGTATATACTTTTTTGTGTTATAAATAATGTGTTTTTTATCACAAAAATATAAATTATCGTGTGAATTTTTTCCAATATTGTGCAGCGTTCCTTGTAGCCTCTTAATCTGCTAATTTGCACAGCCTAGTGCGTGTTTTGTTTTCAGGTGCTGATGAATTACTTTGTTAGTCAGGGTCCCTGTATTTGCTCTCATGAGTGTCCACATTGACATTTTATTTGAAGTGAATTAAAATTAATATAATTGACTTGTCAGACGTGATAGTGCTTGGCGAATCTATAGGAAAACTTTCAGACTACTATATATTCTTAATTATTGTCAGAGTATCCTTCAGTATAATTGTTGAAGTGGCTCAACTGTATTAAGCCAATTCATGTCTGACAACTGAAACCCTCTGGTTCCTGAATTCCCTGAGAAGTACTGAGTGCATAATGGCTCAACCGGTAAGACTCCAGTATCACATCCCCAAGGCTGTGGCTTTGACTGCCACCCCCAGCTCTGGGGGCGAGGAATTCTGCATGTTCCCTGATGGCTGGTTCATACTTACTGGCTTCACTACAGTGTGCAGAGAATGCGGCACCATCCGCGTTCCTGGATGTGCACGCTTCTTGCACCAACATGTCAGGCAGCTGCGTGCTTTGACACCAGGCCTGGGGTGGCACTGAAAGGCAAAGCTGCTCTTAAATCACATTTATGAAGTGTGGATGGATGTAACATTAAAAATAAGTATTTCACTAAAACTAACCACTATGTACTTGCAGTACACAGGAACATTGGACTTCCACAGTCAAGGTGCGTTTGCATTCCAGTATGGAGCATCTGCCTCATCTCGATGTTTCAGTGGTACGTGCCCTTACACGTGGCTGTGGAACACGGCCTCCACCCCCACCCTCTGTGATGTCATGTGTGTTTTGGCACACCAGCCCTCTATATGAGCCAGGTCCGTAGCCTGAAATGAATTTCAATGGGACTTCAAGCTCTCTATTTTACTACCTGGCTACATGCCTGGTCGGTAACAAACAAATTTGGGGAGGGGGGCAAACCTGTGATTGTACTGTGAGGCTACACACCTGGTATGAACAAACTTTTAGATGCAAAAATTGCTTCGGAGTACTCCACTGTCCTCCCCACGTCAAAATCATTGGTTAGGTGAACCTGTGTCTGAATTACACCATGTGACTGTGTGCATGTGCCTGTGTGCATGTGCCTGTGCGCATGTGCCTGGTCGTACATCCCTCTGCAGGGTGTCCCTGCCTGGGCTCCGGCTCTGGGGAGACGCCTCACTCTCACCTTGACTATGTTCCGGGTTAGTGGGTCTGGAACATGTGTGGATGAGATACAAAAGCAACAAAGAGTCAAACTGCAAGAAATATTTCCTCACTTTGAAAATGTCACATTTTATTTTTGAAAAATCAATATAAATTACTGAAGATATTACAAGCATATATACATTTTTTACATAAATTAAGATCTGGATACGTACTGGTTCTTTGTAAAAAATAGAATGTACAGTGAACAGTTACATTAATTTCATTACACAGGATGTAGGGCCCACAAGGACAACACAATGCAGTCAATATGACTGGGAAAATTGCCACAGACAGTGAGGAACTCGCACTGATCCATGACCAGATTTGTACATTTACGTCTGAGTTCTGAAAAGACTCGTATTCAGGAACAAGTTCATTTCAAACTGCAGATTTTACAGTATTACTAAAAACTATAGAAAAGTCTCAAATGATTGCACATTCTATAAATAGTCTGGCATTTTGTTGTAACAAATTCAAAACGATACAATGTGTCTTGTATGCGGAATTTTTTTTAAAGCACTTAAGTTTGGTATGTGAAGAGAGTGCGAAATGAGGCAAGGTCATACTTTAAAATATTACCATTCATTCAAAGCAATACCCTGCTTTGCTCGAACCAACATTTTCAGAAATGCGTGCACAAGCGCTTTGGTTCTCTACATGCTAGTTAGTTTAGGAAATTCATAAATGTACAGTTAAAGTAGCACCACTTTTTCCAAGGATGGCCATGAATGATTCAGAAAAATGTGCTCTGTCAAACTGAAAGCTTCTCTTCCCTCTTTAAAATGCTACAGGTCTTTGGTTCCTGCTTCTCTAAGCCACAGTCTGATCACCTGAGCATGTTGGTCCATCATCATCTTCAGCGCCATGAGCCAGACTCTGGTGGATTCTGCTAGGCTGGGTTTTTTTTTTTTTTTAACTGTAAGACTTTGCAGTGTAAAGTCAGGTTTCTCTAACCCTCCTCTTCCTGGCAGTGATCTTTCCAAAGTGCCCTCAATCACAGTTAGTCTAAGACTGCTTCTCAATCTCAATGGGTGCGATTTTCATGGCTGTGGTCTTCCAAGGATAGTAGCGTCCCCGCTGGGTCTTCCAGAACACCGCCTGCTTCCTCTGGTGCCTTTGTTTAGGCAGCGGGTTGTTAAAGTACTTCCCATTGAGATTGGACCTTCCACAGTTGCTGAACCACCAGCCACCTGCAACAAGAAAAAATCACTGAATATTAGATTTACTTAGTCTTAAGACTATCTAGCCAGATCAACAAAGTGATGAACAGCTGTCTTAGCTGCAGGTCTAGCTCTCTGAACATACCAGAAAGATGCTTAGCGCAGTTGATATCTGTCCTTTGGTCATTGTCTCTGTCTCGGGTGGAGAAGGGCAAACCAGAGGGGTTACTGGCAAGAGCACTGGCCAGGCTTCCAGAGGAGACATCTTTCAGGTGAAGGGTGTAGTCGCTTTCCTCACCACCAAGGCTGAATAGATACTTGACAGACTCAGTCTCATCTTTCCAGTTGGACAGCTCCACCTGCATGATGTATTCCCCTTGCACGGAGAGGGCATGCATCTTCTGAAGTCCCAGCCAAAAGTCACCTATAAAAGAAACGCCAAGACTGGTTCATGACAGGCATCAAAGCTTCAGTTCAGAATATAAATTGTCTGTTTAGTTAAAGTCAGGCTTGGTCATGAACTGAGGACTGGACGACCCATTTATAACGAGTCTTTTAATGGATTAGCCTCACAGTTGACATTTAATACTTTACTAAATATTGTTCTTGTCTCATGTTGCAATAAGTGTAGATTTTAGTATACAGTATCACACGGAAGATGAGCCATGCAAAGGACTGAAAAGAATCTGCCGCTCCTACCGCTGGGACTGCCAAAGCCCTCTTCATAGGCTTGCCACAGCTGGTCGAAATCCAGTGAGCCGTCATGACGCCTTTGCATGACTGTCCATCCACCTTCTGCATAAAGAAATACCAGTAAACGAAGGATTAATGAGAAGCCATTTACTAACAGTGTGTCAATTAAAAATGACTGTTGACTAAGGAGAATAATTCATACAGAGATTTGTCTCCCTCACCGTCTGTCATTTCACAGAAGACGTGGAATGGCTGGCTGTTCAGGGGCTGAATGGTGTAAATGCCACTGGTCCGTTTGCCGCTCAGAAACAGTTTGTGGCAATCTGTGGCTGCTTCTGAAAAACAGGAAAATAGCGTCGAGCCTATTAATATAAAATCACATTTTAGAATCAGTAGGAAGGCAGCAAATATATAGCTCATGTGTGCACAGACGTGAGCGTAGTGCTGATGTAGTTGAATTTCAATGACCAGCGGGCAATGTTCATCTGTGCTGCTAACTAACAGCTGTAATGCTGGAGGAGTGTATGGATAATGAGATGGGGTGGGAAGGGGGGGGGGTTGGCTCTCTGGCTCAGACAGAAATAGGGGAAAGGTCACAAGTTTCTGCAGGCCTGGGAATGAGGCGGGCATCCTGAAGAAATTATGGCACACATCTGAATATCTTTACGGCATCTCTCGTAACATGGGACTCACCACAAATACCACACTCAGCCAGTCTGTCAGATTTATGTCTGTTAGATGTATTCTGATACTGCCCTTCCTGTACCCCCCCACTGATGTGCTGCTGACTTTATTCGGTTTAAACTTTCATTACCCCCCGCCATCCGAATGTTGTTACATTTCCCGTTTTATAACCGGTACACCAGAGCAGTTCATTTATAAC